CGTCTACCGAATATGAAATAGATATTAATACAAAGAAAGCAAGTGCTAGTTTAAATGCTCCAAAGAAAGATTATGCTCCAAATGAACCAAATGGAGGTAAAACCACTTTTTCAAAAAAAAAATGCAATGCAATCATTATCGATATATTGAAAATGCTTTTTTGCATGAATTCTAGCGTCTACCGAATATGAAATAGATATTAATACAAAGAAAGCAAGTGCTAGTTTAAATGCTCCAAAGGAAAATTATACTCCAAATGAACCAAATGGAGGTAAAATCACTTTTCAAAAAAATAAATGCAGTGCAATCAATATCGATTTATTAAAAATATTTTTTGGCATGAATTCTAGCGTCTACCGAATATGAAATAGATATTGATACAAAGAAAGCAAGTGCTAGTTTAAATGCTCCAAAGGAAAATTATACTCCAAATGAACCAAATGGAGGTAAAATCACTTTTCAAAAAAATAAATGCAGTGAAATCAATATCGATATATTAAAAATGTTTTTTGCATGAGTTCTAGCGTCTACCAAATATGAAATAGATATTGATGCAAAGAAAGAAGTTAATCTAAATGTTCTAAATGAAGGTAAACTCACATTTACTTAAAAAAATGCAGTGAAAACGAATATCGATATATTAAAATGTTTGTTTGCATGAATTCTATGAAATAGATATTGATACAAAGAAAGCAAGTGTTAGTATAAATGTTCCAAGTGAACAAAATGAAGGTAAACTCTCTTTTTTAAAAATAAATGCAGTTATATCAATATCGATATAATAAAAATGATTGTTTGTATGAATTCTAGATATCGATGCAAAGAAAACAAATGAAGTATCAATCATCAATATTTGTCGATCATTTTTAGCCAAATGGTACCGGTACTAATTCAAAAAGGTTATTTCAAATCAAGAAATTATAATTATTTATATATAATTATCCGGAGCGTAAGCGAAGGACTATATATTATTCTGCAATATGTGAAAATTTATTGTCATGTGGGGTTTCTGGTTGTCATGACACGTGACTGATTATAAATAAATAAACCAATTAAAAAATTTATCGCTCCAGATCTCACAATGGTTCATTTTACAACAACTAAGAAACTTAAATCTATTGAATTGCAAAAAAATAGATATCAAGTTACAGCTCATTATTTGAACTTAATCATATTAGTACAAGTAACTTAATTATTAGAATAACATAAATTAATGAAGAAAGATTATTCAAGACAAAAGGTGCGATCAAAAAATCTATGCCTATTACTATATTAAACGTAAGATGTTCATTTTCCAAAACAAAAATACTAATAACAAAAATTAATAACATAGTCAAGTCATCTCTAAATTAAAGTTGAGTAAATATTTTAAAATCGCTGGAATTTATTAGAAGAGAACACTGCTTCTTCATACATGTATAATAAAATATAACAAAGAAGTTATTTGTAAAAATATGAGGAGATTAACATGTATAAAAAGAGCTTCTTGAAGCTAGAATACTCTTAAACATTAATCAAATAATTTATAACAAAATAACTCATCTTTACTTGCTAATTACATGTATTATCGCTATTCTTTTGATCATTTTCATGTAATGGATGATCTTCACTATAAATAAGTCACACTATGATTTTGGATATACTGTAGAAAGAAATGCAACACGAAAAGTTTTACCGTTACGAAAAAAAAATTTAATGATTCAGAATATCTATTTCCTATACTCATTTTAAAGCTAATAACCTAGAGAATATTTTTTAAAAATCCTAAAAATTATATTAGTGCTGCTGTTCTAAAGAAATTAAGTGATCTATATTAATTAGTGAAATTTTAACTTTAAATAATTTTTTTTATCAGGGAGGATTGATGCGGATTGGCCTAATAAAAAACGCGCCTCTTATGGAGAACTATTTACCTACAAATTTTCAGCTAAATTGGCACCAAATTCGCTGAGTTATTCGATCCCGAAGTACCAGATGAATGCTAGTAAAATAATCCAACTATTTTTTCTGCTAGTTTTCATCTGGTACTTCAGGATCAAATAACTCATTAAATTTGGTACCAATTTAGCTGAAATTGGTACGTACAGTGGTTGACATAAATATCCGGAATTCATTACAAAAATTTTGTACACACATTCTCAAATATGGCTACTAACTATTTACAAAAATTTAATAGTCAATTTTTTTCCCTCATATTCAATCACTGCAAAACATGATACTTCATACTCCTTGCTAATCAAAGAAAGAGATCTTTGCTTAAACTCATCCATTTTATTTGTATTATCATTTGAAATTCCATTGTTGAAAGTTTTTTTTTGATTAACCATAAATTTACCTCCTTTTCTACCTTTCCCTTAAGTATAGCCTACAAATTCTTGATGGGATTGATATCTGGTGAGTAAGAAGGCCAATCAAGAATTTGAACATCATAGTTATGAAAAAGATTGATTATTTCACCTGCATTGTGGATTGGAGAATTGTTCTATTGAAAATGCAACTTACAATCTGCTACAGAAATATGGGGAAAAAGGTGCATTTCAAGAATTTCTTGATCTTTTTTAGCATTGAAGTTTTCAGTAAATAAGACAAGTGCAATTGGTTCTTATACACCAAAAGCATCTCAAGCATGAATCTTATAGGGATGCTTTATCATAATTTTATGTGATCATGATGTTCCATGATGATATCTTATTAACTGAGTATTTCTAAACATTTGGAGAATTGTTTCATCAGAGAAAATTATGTGAGTTCAATTTTGATAGATATGTTTTTATACCCATTCAAGATGAGCTGCAATGCTATGGGATTGTAAAACAATGGATGACAAACATCAAATTGAAGATTTTTTTAAGATATATTAAATTGCACAAATGGAAATTTTCAAGTTAGAATCTTTTTATTTAAGTCTTTCAGTCATTTCAGCTGTAGTGGTGGCATTATTGATCTGCATCAATTGACAAGGATGCAACATTGTTCAACTGTGAGAATTGGGGGTCTTCCAGATTGGAAAGTGGCATAATACTTGATGATTTTTTAATCCAATTGATTATATCATACACCATAGACTGAGGGAAAACGCACATTTCTGCAGGTTTCCGGATATTATTTGCCCAAACTGACTTACCACCGTTCTTTGTGCTTCGTGCTTGGAAATGAGTGGCATTTTTTGCTAACGGTGCAAAAATTGACGGCTAAAATGGTAATGTTGTTATGTTTATTATTCAACAATCCCAATTTTATACTTTAAAATTGGTAACGTTACGTGACATTTTGTGTATCAGATCGACATTCCGAATATTTATGTCGACCACTGTAAATAGTTCTCCCTAAGCACATTTTTTTATTAGGTCAATCCGCATCAATCCTCACTAATTAAAAATATTCATGTAGATCACTCAATTTCTTTCGAATGGCAACATTAATATAGCTTTTTGGATTTTTAATATATTCTTTAAAATGCGTATAGGAACCAGGTATTCTGAATCGATGTTAGAGTCATTAGAATTTTTTTTTGTAAAACTTTTAGTGTTGCATTTCTTCTGTGAGCCACCGCACATGTATAATTATCGTTATTGTTTTAAAACAAAGCAATTAAAGTTTTTAGTTAGCAGAAACCATCCAGTATATGCATATTATTTGAAAACCCCCCATTGAACCCTTACAAGTTGATTTATGTACAGTTACTGCAGAAGATCCCTTTTTAAATCATTCAATCTAACAAAAATTCTATGACTACGCTTAATTACTGAATGTAACACTACTTGTATCATATTCGCAAAAACTTCTCAATACAAATATTTGGACTGTTTGCACCATTCGTTGTAATCATTCAATATTTCTAAACATTTCATTTGTGATATCATAAAAATAATATGCAACGTTACGTGTATTGGGTACCAGCTAATATTAGAATTTCTAAGAACAAATACAATTAACGTCTTTTACATCTAAAAAAGAATGAATCCAACATTTGTGTTCATGTATGACAATTCTTGAACCATTTATAAGCGTTCCGGTGGAGTACACATGTAATACAATTTAAATGGTACTCAGCACATATGACCTGGTAATGACCGATATAACCGAATATTCATTAAAAAAGCAGCGTATAATGAAAATATAAAATGAAACCTCTACACTGTAAATTTAGCACGAAGCTTATAAGATCTCTAATTATTTTACACCTCTAAATGTAAACTCCGTCTTGTTTTCAATATATATCCCACTGATTTGCATTTAAAGAGGTTTAGCTATATAGTTGCATGTTTATTGTAAAAAAAAGCAACGATCATACACGCATATTCAATTTTACCTGGTTATCGTCATATTATATGTGACTTTTTAAAAAATAGACGCGTATTCATATTGTTAAAGAAAACTGTTGAAATGCATATAAAAACGGCAAGCAAATTGGAAATGCATAAAAATGAATGGTGTGAATTATGCGATCCTTCTAAGATCGATAAATTTATCAAAAACACACAACTTAAAGCTAAAAGTTATGAAGAATATCTAGAATGGATTCCCTTTAATAGATTTATTATTATCAAGCAAGAGGGATCCATATATAAAGCAACTTGGATAGACGGACCAAGGGAGACTATATACCGTAATGGAAAGTGTATAAGGTCTCGATCTAAGTTGAAAACAGTTGTTCTGAAAAAATACAGAAAAACACATCTTATTGAAAAAGTAATTAATTTTTTATGTCAAAGCATGCACGCCATGATTTGCTAAAATAGCTTATTGTTTTTGATTTAATTTTTTAACTTGTTAGATGAAGTATCATTACGAATGCAGCGTAAAAGACAAAGGTTTTCTACCATTTTATGGAATAACAAAGAATTCCAACGAGTATTTTTTGGTATTTGAATACGCTGAAAATGGTAATTTACGCGAATACTTGCAACGGGAAGAATGGAAAACAATGACAATTGTCGACAAACTTAAAATATTGTACGACATTTTAAACGATTTAAAAACAATTCACAGAAATGGACTAGTACATAACGGCATACATAGTAGGAACATATTGATAACAGCATCCAAAGTAAAAAGAGCTTACATTTGTGACCTTGGATTAACGAAATCAGAAAATTCTAAAAAAGAATACAAGTATAGAGTTCTGGAATATACTGCACCTGAAGTTTTACAACGAAAAGGGCAAACGAAAGCAAGTGATATTTATGCAATCGGAATATTAATTTGGGAAATAATTCATGGGCAATGTCCGTTTTCACATTATAGCGATATTCACGAAAAAATTATTGATGGCGAAAGACCAAAATTTACTGTAAAATGTCATAAATTATTATATACTTTAACAAAATGGTGTTGGCATGAAAATCCCATAAGAAGACCAACAATTGATTTGACATTAAAAGTTGTGTTTAATTTATTGTGTCATAAAAAGTTTGAATGTGAGCTTCCATGTAGTTATTGTGAATTACCATTGATACCGTCACCGCAGGGTTCTTTTTGCACGAATTCAGGGACAGAACATAGCAGCAGCCTTAGTTACAAAACATCGTTTTCGGATGATGATGAACCATTACACAATGATTCGAAGACTGACAAATCTTTTATAGTTCACTGTCAAAACTATATCGAGACCTTAATAACCATGCCAAAAGTCAATGCTATATTAAGGAACCCATTGAAACATGGAATTCCGACTCTTGACTTTTTTTGGGATTGCTATCAAACTAGCATAAGTAGTAATTGTAAATTTCTTTGCCGGTCAAAGAAATAGTTTTTATCATTAATAAGGTTAAAACTATTGAAATATAACATATTAACTTCTGTACAATAAATTTAATCGAAAATACTTACGATCTAATACATGTATCTTTAAAGAATGATCAGTCGTCAAATTGTGGACTTGATCTTAAAGGCATCTCCTTTTGCTTGCATAGATCCAAATTGATTTTCTTTTTCATTGTCACTTTCGGTCTTTATTCTTTTCTTTATTATTTATGTTGATCTACAGCAGTTATGACCACTAACTATCAGAGAAAAGTACGATCCGACCAGCTGAAACAAGAACCAAAGTATTCGTTTACATTTTCCATAAAATAATTTTAACTTTTATTATATATAATTTTTTTTGTAAATTATTCATCATTTTAGCGTATGCTGAATACCCAAGGGTTGTTATCGTATCGATAGCATTCCATGTTACACCTGACATCATTAAATACAAAGCAACTTCTAATTTATGTTGGTCAACAAATTTGTTTTGTAAACCTTCTATTGTATAACACAATCCAACAATCGAATTTTTAGCTTTATTTATGTTGTGGGTAGAACACTATTTAAGAATGTTCAAAATCATTATAAAATTAAAATACTCTTGAGTTGAGGATCATCTTCTTCAAATGTATATTCAAATTTTGATGAATACAATTCTAGACTTGCATGTTCTAGACGTTGCTGGCTTCTGTTAACATTTATTATAAAGTTAATATTGAAAAAAAATCACTTACTCGTATTATTAATATTTGGAGATTCTTTTTGTATTTCTATTTTTTTATATCTTCATTTTGCCCTTGTCAGCCTTTGCAGTATTGCAAGAATGCAAATGGTAAAGTTTTGTTTGCCTACTTCAAGATAAGGATACATTTATAGCATTTGGTTCTTATGACATTTTGCATACGCGAGATTTGTAATGAGACGGAATTTAACGTTCATGCGCATGCAGTTTGTAATGGAGCAGGGGTCCATGATTTTTGATTTTTTTCATTTTTGCAAATATAACTGAATTCAATTTATCACCGGAGCAACTTTTCTTGTGTCGTGATTTTAAAACCAGAAAAGAAAATCATAACTTGTTCTCAAAAATTGACAAAGCCAATTGCTAAACTCTTTGCGGTTTTACTGTAATTTGTGCAATTTGCTATGTAAACTACCCCCCCCCCCCCCACAATGATAGTAGATTTTTTATTTTTACTAACGCTAATTAAAGTTCAAATATACTAGATCCCCGGATGGTTTTTGTGGAATATCATCTTTGATGAAGATCATAGCCAATTAAATAGAACTTCAGTCATGCTGTTTTTTCAAATTCAATATATTGTATATATAGGATTAATTTTATTTTTATCAATCTTATAAATATTTTTATTATTTAAAATTTATTATTAACATTAAGATAGATGAGTAAAAATAATTCATTGAAATATGTCCAAAAAATTATCGGAGCTTTAAAATGGAGATTTAAAAAGAGATAGAGAAGTGAAAATTTTGAATATGAATGATTAAAGTAGAAAATATAAAAAGAGTTGGTAAATTGATGACTTGGCTTCATTAACCGTTCTGAGCCCGATATCGTTTCCTAAAACTTTTGTCAATTTCGATAACGCTTAATGAAATTTCCCACCTCAATTACCATGATTTCAATTCATCTTCGGATTCGTCGAGATCGAAATCATATTTAAATGTTCGATATTCTGATGTATTATGACATAATATTTATTAACTGGATAGGATTAGATTATACAAAAATTATCGAAAAATACTAACCTTTCTGATTCACATTCGGCAAAACTTTGCTCGTATAAACGGCCAATGGATGGGTCGGGTAACTTTCCTTTGAATCATATTCGGATGCTTTTGCAATTCTAAACCCCTTGGCGACGAATATTTGCTGGTATTCCGTTACCGTAGTTTCGTTATAATACCATTTTTTAACGATGCCGCATATCTCTTTAGAAGTTGGTCTTTGCGAGGGAATTTGATGCCAACAATGTACAATCAAATCGCGGTGAAAGTTAGGTAATCCTTCCGGTAATTCTGGTCGTAAAACCATCGCATATATCCAAAGCCAAATTAACATCAAAAGGACGTTTACCGAATGACGGTTTACCAACACACAACTCCCACATGACCATTCCCAATGCATAGACATCTGATGTCATGCTGAATACTTCTCAGAAAATCTCTGGTGCAACGAATGGCATTACACCATACATTTGACGTTTTTCCTTAGTGGAATCTTGTCTGATTACAGTACCCATATCACAGATAATAGCTCCATATTTATCTAATCGAAGAACATTTCCAGGATGTAAATCACCGTTTGTGAATTAATAGCGATAGACTGAAGATTTGTACAAAGCGATGCTCCATGTAGCTGGCATAAGTGATAACTAAAAATATTTCCATTTGAAGGATCGCATGTTATTCCATAGACTTTATAATAACGAACACTGAAAAATAGAAGGATAATTAAAACTAATTATTTCTTACCTATTAACTTTATTAGAATATGGTAAAAAAACTGCATTTAATATACTAAATTGATATCTAATAGAAAGTATAAAAAATAATAGATAAATAAAATAATAAAAATTCAAATTCAATCAAAATGTTGAATTTCCTACTAACATACAAAATAAAATTATTAATTTTCTACCATCTAAATAAAAGAATAATGGATTGGTTAAATAAAGTTAAAATGAAAATAAAATCGTTGATTCTTACTCCCTAAATAAAGGATAGAATAATGGATTAGTAAAATAAATCAATATCAAAATAAAATTAAAATGAAATGTAAAAATATAATGGATTAGTTAAATAGAATTAAATTTCAAATAAAATTAAAATGTAAATGTAAAATAAAATCGTTGATTTCTTACGAGGATAGAATAATGGATTAGCTAAATAAATTAATATCAAAATAAAATTAAATGAAAATGTAAAATAAAATCGCTGATTTCTTACTCCCTAAATAAAGGATAGAATAATGGATTAGTTAAATAAATTAATATCGAATAAAATTAAATGAAAATATAAAATAAATCGTTGATTTCTTACGATCTAAATAAGGACAGAATAATGGATTAGTTAAATAAATTAATATCAAATAAAATTAAAATGTAAATGTAGAAATTCATTGAATTTATTCTAAAATGACTTCGATTATGCATAAATGAGCATTTAAACCATTTTTAAGTACTAGCCGCAAAATTTTTTTATTCGTTCCATATAGCTTTCAAGTTTTTGAGGCTGTTACTCATTGCATTACAAGGGAATAATTTTTGGTCTTATTGAAAAGCATTATGTTGTACGGCCAGTTAAAGAAATTTTCGCATTTAAATTCATATATAAAGAGTTCTTGTTTTGTTTGTATGATATTACAGAAAATACATATTTCAAATCTTTTATTCTAAATAAACATATCCATTAAATTTAAAGATGCTAATCCATGGTGTATCATAGCTTTTGACGGACCACCTGGTGTTTTGTCCTTATAGCTAAATCATCGCATTAAAAAAATGTGATTGTCGAAACTATGCTTTATATCCCCTTCAATTATCAATGAGCTTTAGTTGCGCCAGCATCTCCTCGATTCGCTGGTTGTTACAATACTATCAATAAAAAACATAGTGTCGCATACATTATTTTAAAGGTGAACCAAGTAATAACGGTAATGTTTACGCGAGAAAACTTGTCCTAGATGACCCATGTTTCGTTTGGAAATTATAAATTGTTATCAACCCTCATCCACCTAAGAAGTTTATTGCTATTATTCCGTATGAATTGCCAGAAAGTATCACTTAAAGCAAAAAATACTTTATGAATTCAAAGTTACATACCAATAAATAAACTGTTATTGTATTTGTTTCATCGTAATCAATTTTTCAACCAGTAGATTCAAAATGATAAGAATTTTTATAGGAAATATTAAAACAAAATTCAAACACACACGCAATAAACAACAAACAATCAAAATAAACACATTTAAAATACATCTACATGTAAATAAGCCTATTTTAGTCGTTTCTTTCACGAACAATCAATCAAAAACCATACATACAGTCAATTCGACCATCCCCCATAACTTTCTAAAATCATAATCTTAAAAAATTTTCTAACACAAAAAAACCATTTACAAACACTGACATCAGGAATTGATGCTCGTCAAGTATCACACCGCAAATAAAATGAAATGTCAATTTAAGATGCAATGCCTCGATGCTCAGTGACCATTCGATTTGTCTAGTCGAGTGGGTCATTGAGCGTCGAGGCATCCTAAATTGACGATTCATTTTTGTTGAACATTCAATGCCCAATATAGAAGTTTCAGTTTTTGATTGTTCTTTTTACTCAAAAAATTTCTTGGCATTACATGAAATTTTTGCCAAGATAGGAGATTCAGTTACTTATGATTAGCACTGTAAATGACATAGCGATAGTTCTATATAAGTCTATAAATGGCAACTACATGTATATACATGTACATGCATAAACCGGTACCGGTACGTTCAAAATCTTGACAAATACAACCCGACAGTTCATATGTCGACAAGCGAAATCCCGAACAAAATCCAGAATGCACGAAATTCCGATATCGTGACAACTTGGTATTCTATGCATTCCATTCGGGATGCAGTTCTTTCGAGATTTCGTTTGTCGGGCTAGTGAACTGTCTTGTCAGGCTTTCGTACCGGATCCGTATAAAAATACATATATAATTTGAACTACCGATACATGTACATGTAAATCATGTGCTATCATTTAAACGACTCGTATTTTATAAAGTGAATTCAAAGATGGGAGCGAATACTAGTCATTACAATGAATGTAAGGATTGTCAAAAAAATGACTACTGCGATGAATGTTCAATTTACAATACTCATTGTAGTAAATGTATTGATTGTCAAAAAAACGAGTTCTGCGTTGACTGTTCCAAATATCACAAACGAATTTATAACGATGAATTGTCTAGCGGAGATAAAGATATCGACAATCTAATAAAAGAATGCAACAAAATTAATCATAGATTATTCGAATGGATTCCTTTTGAAAGATTTTCCAATGTTAAATATCTTACAAAAGGAGGTTTTGGAACAATTCATAAGGCAACCTGGTTGAATGGACCATTAGATGGACTTCCCGAGTGGGATCATGAAGAAAATAAATTTA